AATCTCGTTGTCTAGTAGGGGTGGGGGAGAAATATAGTACACATGAAACAGGAAAAATCAGGAAAAGTGAAGAACCGGGAAAAATTTTTTCCCAACGCAGTAAGTTTCTTTCAAAGGCACATACGCCCCCCCCCCCTTACGACTCCCCCTCCCCAGCGCAAAAGTATCCCCCTTATGTATTTCACAAAACAATGCTGTACCCTGTCCCCAGTTATTGTTCTGCAAGAATTCGTTCGCTCTTTTTTGTTGGTATATGTAACCCCGAATGACGTTTCCGTTTGCAGCCCTAACGACCATCATTTGTCAGCAAGCAGCTGTATTGTTAGCGTTAAATTCGCTTGCTCGAATCTCTCATTCTTCTTTCTTTCCGCGTGCGTTAATCGTTATCTAGACTTCTCGAGGGTGCCTGCTGAGCAGCCACTAAGTGGGACACCCAATTGATCTATTTTCCACACCCTCCTCTCTTTGGCTGTTTACCTCGATATTTTCTCGAGTTTCTCGTACAGCTAGATGTAATTGCAGATTGATTTGGTTAGAATTCCTCTATTTTTTCTTAGCTTTTATGAGAAATTCTTCAGTAGCACATATCTTTTTTTTCAGGAAATGAACCGAGTTTCGGTTCCTGGAAGCCCTCGATCCCATTACTCACCACGACTGTTGAACGGTCATGCCGAGCCAGTGCAGGAGAGGCATCAAAGGTATATTTACCTAGTTCTAGACAGATGTAGTGGACCTTTAGTATACAGTTGTTGCAGTATACACTCCATATCCCGGAGATAGAGTGGGCGTGGTGCGCACTTCATTTTAACACGGCGTAGAATGCGTTTTTCGTCGGATTTTTCCATTTGAGACAACTGTCGTCCTGTCTAGTGCTGGACAAATGCATTTACAGTTGTTCCAAAACGGCAGTATTCCACCAAAAGTGCGGCCGCTGCCATGTTCAAGTGATGCACCAGCCACGCCCTCTCCATTTCCATGATGTAGACTGTATCTTGAGTTGGCTACATTAATCCAAGTTGTTTTTGTAGGTTTTCCGATCCAGATCCGTTGGATACGGTTTCGCGAACGGCACGGGTACCTCCTCCCAAGATCTACCCAACGGGCACAGTTCGAAGAACGGAAAGTTTCAATTCTGCGCCTGGAGTATTAGCAGTGAGTTATTAGATTTATAGCGACAATTATTTTCGATACCTCTGACATTTTGCACGGGCTGGCATTTCGGCGAAATTGTGGTGGCCTTTCCACTTGTATTTTCATCGAAGAGAGCTAGAGCAACTCATTGTGACCTTTTTCATTTTGTTATTTCTATTCTATTTTCCGCAGTAATAAGGTGACGTGGAAATTTCTTAATAGAGTCATTTGCATATTTGCAATGAAAATTACGTCATTCTAGCGTTGTTTTATTAATTTTTTATTATATATTATTATATCATTATTATATTATTATATATGCTATTATTTTTATTTATTTAGTTTAGTTTATTTATTTTATTGTAATAGTTGCAACCATAGGACATTTGCCAGGAGCAGAAAAGAAACGGGGGTAGTTAGTAAATGAGCAATGAGTTGAGAAGAGCGTCGAAGACTAATGAAAAGCAGCTGAGTTTTCGCACATAGAACGTAAAAGGGCACCATGTCCCCCTATTACCTGATCGGGTGAATTGTACCGCTGATAGTTGGAATCTTTCTGATAAATAGCCGAATCCACAATTCTCAGAGGTTTTTCCAGTTTTTTCCCCAACTTTACTACTTGTCCATTCTGTGGGATCTTTATTTTCTTGGAGGCGCAGACCTCTACCCTGCAAAATCAAGAGAAACGGTAGCAGCGATATTCTGGCTCCAACTCTGAGTCATTTACAGTTCCTATTGAACAGAATTACCGTGTTGCGGCCAGTCCAAAAAACGAACCTCATCAGTCGCCAAACGGTGAGTTTTTTTTTTTATTTTTTTTGAATTATTTGCCTAAAATGGAAGCAGCTTGAAATTAGCCGTGGAGTCAATAAGCAGGTTATATTCGCCATAAATGGAGTTAATTGAAGTCGTTGTTACAGTGGAGTTTAAGACTTTTCGCCATTTTCAGCCACCATGTAACAACCACTGCCTAGCAGATCTACATACAGCGCCCAGCGATGTGTCAGCTGCTACGGTTCCCCCGCGGATCAATGAATCGAATTACAGAACACGCTCTGCACTCGATCCGCACCATACCTCCTTCCCCTCGGACGTATGGCCGACCCCCTTCAACGATACACCGATCCGCGAATGATGAACTCCCCGTTGTCGCGAAATCAAGAAGCTCTGTCAAGGTCGCTGTGCTCACCAGTGTTGCCGAGACCGCTAAGGACGCTTGACAACAAGAGCAACTCTTTACCTCCGGCGGAAGAGGCTAGAGCGAGGTGAATGGTTTTTTTTGTTCTTCAGAATAGTTTTTTTCAAATCCTCGATTGGGGATTGAGATCACTTGGAAAGTGTACACTTTCTTTGTTTTCGTTTTTATCGGTTTTCCTCTTTTATTTGTTCTTCTTCTTCTTAGCGTTGACTGGACGGCCTGATAATTCGCTGAAAGATGCTTCAGTCAAGGGGTAGTGGCCTTAACTTGGGGGAGACTTCTGCGATGTTCAAAATGAATCTCCGGAATACTCATTACAAAGAGCCAAAAATCTTGAAAGCTCTTCAGAATATTTTTATTTGCTATGTTTCGTTGCATAGCACCTTCGGCAGGTCAGGAGAACATTGCCGTGAACGGGCTACAAGGCTAGTGATACCCCGGTGCGCCTCCATAATCGCGTTATCCTCCAGACCAGCATTTGCGTCGATACCAAGGTCCCGCTGCGAAACACGCACGCAGGTGTAGAGAACAACCGGAAGTGAGAGGGTTCAGACGAGCAGCGCGTCCGGTTATGGCTAGGCGTATGGTTGGCCGTGCGGCAGCGCGGGCGGATGAGACGGGTATCACAACCCTCTAGCCGCGCTCCCGTGGTTTTTTGAGCAGTGGAAATGACACGCTATGACAGTTGCCCGCTCATTCACCTAACATATGGCAATGACCAGGGTCCACGGAGGGCAGTGCACAGCTTGTTTTTCTGTCTGTCTTGTCACTTTCTTGCATATAAACTGAACTATCTGACCTGCGAATAATCGCGGACTTAACGGGCCAATTCCTCGAGGGAAACATATCGCACGGTTTTTCTCGTTTGTGTTGCATAGGAGTTTTTGAATGGCTGCTGCAGCATTAAATATGGCATGTCTTGGCTGGCCCTTTGGGAAACATTGACCCGCTCCTGCCGTCTTTAGAACGACAATAGAACGTGCGTTCAGAGAAACCACTTTACAGGTCCTCGAAATGTGAAATGGCGCACGGACGTGTTGGCGTCGAATGCAATGGGTGACGAGAGCGATGGAGCAACTTCGGCGCCAGAATACGCGGGTAGTCCATCCGGTTACGGTAGAACTATGGGGCAAAGTAAGTTATTTTTTAGTCAGAAACTACTCACTCTTTTACAACATTCATATTTGCTGCTGTCCCTGTCCTTCACGCGTCAGTGTTGTTTCACTACAGATTGAGCAATAGCCTGGCGAGAATCTCAGTGCTGTGGTGGTCATTAGGTCTGCTCAAAAGCTGAATAGCTGAAGCTGACTTGAGTAACTTGTGGGCATCACTACTGTAACATTCTCAGGGATTTTGAAGAGGAAATACTCACTAAAACAGAGTTGTGGTTCGGTGAGATCCTGAAAAGAGTGCTCCATGTGATCCACCCATTCTCTCGTCGCCAATAATTGAAGCCATCTCACCTTGCAAGAATCAGAATAGAGTATTGTAGGGAGGACCCTATTAGGCGTCACACTTGGTCATTCAGGGGTCGTATCTAATCTGAGAGAAAATTTCCCTAAGTGTGAGGAAGATGTTTAGGTTCGTAATATTCGGCCGTTACGACCCTTGAAGACTCTCGCCGAAATAGTCTCCGCCAGGGCACATGCGTGTGGGGATTCCCCAGCAGGGGAGGGGGGGGGGGGTCGTATTTGCTCGTTGTTGGGAGGAGGGGGTCGTTTTTCACTTGGCCTTCTGAGTAAGGCTGTGGTTTTCTCGGTTTTCTCCCGTTTACGTGTCCTACTTAAACTTTCCCCTCCCCCCTCCCCCCCCCCCGATAGCAAATATTTTTGGTAAAAAGTACAGAATCACCGGTCTCATGGTACAGTTTTTTTTCTAAAGAAGGATTGGCGCAATTCCCGTTGCCTTAGGATATAGTATCATGTAAGAGCCTAGAAAATAAGTGAAGGCTATGGGCATGAGATGATTGCTGTAACGCCATTTGTACTCCCGTTAAATCATCAGCGTGGCGAGCGGCGCGGCATAAGTCTGGCATTCTGTCCTGGCTGAAAGGGCTGGTGGCGTGCCAAAATGGGTTCTTGATATTGAGAGGACGCGAGGAACACCATCCCATACATCTAGAGATTTCGCGAAGAAATCTGACCATCGCTTAGGCTGTCGTTCACGTACTTGTTTGACTTCTTGTGGGATTCAGCCGGTAATCGCTCTAGTCCAGCGGTCATCCTCGAAAAGGCATGAGGTGGCCGGCCCACCTGGTCTTGGAATCCTTGAGGAGCGGCCGCGTCCCTGATTTTAGCACAAACGATGTCCAGGTCGAGACTTTCGTGAATGTCCCCCTCACTAGACAGGAAATTTTAGTTAAAAAATTCCAAAAGGGAGTAAACTACTTGGATACGAAGGTTAAAATGGAAGCTCGAAAACTGCCTTTCGGGAATAGTGACAAGTTTTAGTGAAATAAGGCGGGGCAGTTTGGCGGATGATTTGGGCACGTTTAAGCAAACTGAGACTTGTGAACTGGGAGTAGTGCGACAGCGAAAGTGCAAAATGCCCCTCCCACACCCCGGTCGTCGGACTGCGCCAACAAAGACTTGTCCGAGAAAAGAGCGAAGCGATCCATCTTTTCTTGAGTATTCATTGTATTTTTCGAGTTCATGGGTGAGATTGTAGAAATAAAGGAAAAAAACCACAACATATGCCTACAGTTATTCAATAGAATAAGCAGTTGGTCGTATGCACTTATAGACGATTTTTTAACGTTCTCTCCCGTTTTCCTTGCTGTTGATTGGCACTGCGATGTCCTTTCGTCTTTGCAACCTCTTAGGCGAATAATGTCAGCTCGTGTTATCCCTTATTCGGTGAACGGGCCACTAATTCATTATCGTGGCAGCCTCAGCGATTTCACGCGTAATTTCACGCTCTTTGGGGAGGACAGAGCATGATGGAAAAGCGCCAGCAGAGTGAGGGGAAAGAGGAATAAGTGGCTGAACGATGGGCGAGGGAGCATTCAAGATTCCTCAATATTCCAGCTCCAGCTCCATATGATTTTGCAGGCTAGAAGATTCAAAGAAATTATTTCGAGCAATATTTGCTGTAGACTAAAAGTTTTTCGGTATGTTGCCGAATTTGGCGACAACCTGGCCTTCGAGGAAAAGAATTACAATCCAATCTTACTTGTCTTCTTTTGGTTGCCCTCTCCGGGAATGGCGTTCGTTCTTACCAATAATTCACTTTTCGGCAAGTTATGCCTGAAATCTTTCAGATTTGCGGTTATCAAATGGTGGTCCGGGCAGGACGGTGAATGATATTTTCTCCGCTGCAGAGTACCGGAATTGGGCAGTACCGTCTGATCCATCGATGATGGGAAGGCAGTCCAGGTCTGTCATAGTTTGCATTTATGGAGCTTCCTATCTTGGCGAGCTTCCTATCTACCTTCCAAATTTTTCTTTCTTTTCTACGTGCACCTATCACATTCTATATCCAGCAGCCTGGCTAATTGGATCGAACCTGGATTTTTCGTCCACATTTTTCACTAAACTACTCAGTGTCGATGTTTCTTCCCTCCCCTAATGTTGGTTACAAAGGGAGTGTGATGCTTTTGCTCGGCTTGTTTCTGAAGGCACGCGCGATACTGAAGCTGGCCGATATTTTAGTTTTCTGCCCCCCCCCCTCCACTTCCCCCTCATTATTTCTCATTCAATTCGATTTTAATATTCTTTTCTAGTGGCGAGCGTAGCGGCGGCATAAAAAAAATTTGCTTGCTGTGTAACATAGTCTTACTCGGCTGCTGTCAGAGCATATCAGGGTTGTATAAAATAACGGGGGAGAGTGAGGGGGGAGGGGTAGTATTTGGCCGTGAGAAACTTATTTTGTGATTATCCTCTTTCATTCTTGGGAGAGTTTCATGGGGGAGGGGGAAGTTGGATGTTATGTTCAAAGGGGGTTCCACTGGCATGGAAGGCAACTTTTTGCGAGGTGAAAGAAAATTTTTTCGGCTGCTTGCCCTTTTCTCCGCTTTGTTTCGTACCCCGGCCTTGGTAAACAGGCACTCTTTCACCCCTTCCTTTAATTGAGGAGCTACCGAAAAACGAATATATAAGTTTTGTTATGAAAATGGTTAATTTTTTCCACTGTCCCAAGATGCTAGATCCTATCCCTGCCTTTACTTTAGCAGGGCGCGCACACGGCTTATAGTTTACCTTGGGGTGAAGTTTTGGCCATTTTTACTGTTTCTCATTTACTAAGCTTACGGTGACCTACAATAATATTAAGGTCGTTGCAAAAGAAAATGCAGGATTTCGTTTTTTGTTATTTAATACTTATTTTATTCTAATAAAATGCTAAGTGTTTATATATCATTCGAAAGCTTATCTAATGCTCTTTCTAAATGATACTTCAAGATTGGTTGTAATTCTTTTTAGAGGCCACAAAATCGTTGAAGGCGTTTTTGACATCGTCTTGGTTTTTTGAAGCCTTTCTCTCTAAGATAGTTGTCCAGATGCTTGAAAAAGTGGTGATCGGTGGGCGACAGGTCTGGTGAGTATGGTGGATGAGGCAGAGTTTCATAGCCCAATCCGTTTATTTTCTGGAGGGTAAATTGTGCAAAGTGTGGTCGGGCATTGTCGTGGAGAAGAGTCCGGAATCGTGGAGTCCCTTCATATTGACCAACCTTGGGCACATGCGTTAAGGCTTCTGATGCATTTCGTCGATTTGTTGACAGTACTTCTCTGCCGTAATTGTTTCACCAGGATTCAGGAAGCTGTGATGGATGAGACCGGCGGCAGACCACCAAACATGAAGTTCATCTTCAAGGCTGGTGTTGCCACAGCGAAACTTCTGGAACCAACGTTGGACCGTAGATTCGTTGATACTTCCTTGACCCCAAACTTCGTTGATGTTCCGAGCTGTATCGGCAGCGTTTCGTCCTAGCTTGAACTCATAGAAGAAAATAGTGCGAAATTCACGTTTCGACATCTGCAATAAAATGTCAATAAAAATTATAATAAAATGAATTACAACCAATCTTGGAGTATCATTTAGAAAGAGCATGAGATGAGCTTCCGAATAGTATATAACACTTCATATTAAAAGTAACATTATTATTGGAATAAAATAAGTATGAAATACAAGCAAGCAAAATCCTGCATTTCTTTTGCAACGACCTAATATAATGTAAGACACGAGGACATAAGTCCGGGTTAAAAAAATAAAATAGGTACTAAACAAATCGCGTGAAACCGCTACTCTCGTTTTTTTTTCAACAAATGAGCCGCATGCGAACACACGCATTGGCGGTCCTCAGTGTGTTAGACATTCATTCCGCTCAGTGGTTATATCAGATCATGAGGTTGATTTACGAGGAAAGTTGTGGAACTTCTCTAGCGCTGGCTCTCTTATCCGAAAAAATGTTTGCGGAAATTCTACTTAATAACCGATTTGGAATTTTTTTTTCCTGTTCTAGATGGTCCCACACTTACGGTGATCCCCGAAGGTGCGCGATCGACTTCCTTGCCTGGTCGCAGCATAGTAGCACAGGTACCTTACCCTATCTATGTTTAGCAAAGAAATTAGTCGGCTTGTTTCTAAAATCGCTTCTATTTTACAGTCTCTGGTTGGATCGCCGGTTCTGCCGCGACATACTGCTGCCCAGGACCGCCCATCGGCAGTGCTGGATCGGTACCATGTGTCTCCGCTTATGAACAGGTGAACATCTTTGGACATTTCTTTGACGGTTTTTAGCTTTTGAAGCGTCTGGTCATACATTTCTATTTCCTTAGTTATACATTTTATTACAGACGAGCTCCTTTACGGCCGGCAGGTCCGGGCATCAATGTGGATAGGCTGAACGTTAATAGTCTCACGGGTATTCTTTTTGTACAGGTAAGCTGTGAAACAATA